TTTTTTTTTTTTTTTTTTTAATGGAGAAAGACAATATACAAGCGGTGGATAAAGAAGAATGATGCTCGATTTCACAAACGACATCGACTTGATTATTAAGCTCTAAACAGACAACGAGAATAGCTAAACAAGCAAGCTTAACGTATCATTTAATCAAGTAAGCCATAAACAAACAAACAAACCCCTAAATTAAATATAACACTAYAACAAAACTGAGTTAATAGGACGTCATCAATTTCTAATTATCATAATAGACTGCTTTATAAGATTTAATAAATTGTCCTAACTAAATACATTGTAATAAGTTTAACATTTTTCGACATCTTAACAAGTTTTTTAGGACATTTTTAATATAAAATAATCTCATTAGCTATTTTACATGACACATTTGAGAAAATGTTTTATAAACTCATCTTTTTATATGACATTTTTTCTAATAGTGAGCTACAAAATAGTTAATACAATATTTTTTTAATAAAAAATATCCTGGAAAACTTATTACAACGTCCAAAGACGTTGTTTAAATTTATCATAACTATTTAGTCTATTTTTAGATATGACACTTTATTTATTGACTAGTTGTGTACCCCCGTAATGCGGCGGAAGCAAATCCAACATATTTAAACGGATCTACAAATGTGTTCGATTTACACCAAGAGCAAAGAATAAAGAGATCGAGAGTGAAACCGAGAGTTCTAGAGCAATTGAATGAGAAAACTTTTAATAATTCATGATGAACATCAGTTTGAATCTCACCTTGGGGAATGGGGAGAAGATATAAAGGTATGAGAGGGTGAAGACATGAGTGAAATGTGTCAAAAGTATCTTGGGAACATGAAAAAAAAAGTAATAATATGTATTCGTAACTTGTACTACATGTTATTTTAATTGTAGATTAAGAGATTTTAAGACTAAATCCACAAAGTAATAATACTTAATATATTATGAGTTGTTTTAAGTCTTTATGCATAATTGTATAAAACTTTGTGGATTAAATATTATATTTAAGAATTTTGAGTTTTTACAATTTTAAGTTGGTTTGTACGTATGTATGCATTACACCTTTTCGTTGCTTTTAAGATTGTGTTTTGTAGCTTTTTATTTAGATTTTCGTGTTATTAATTAATTTTCTTATTTTAATAATGATAAGATATTAAAGTTTTATTATTTTCTTATATTTTTCTTGTATTTTTGTGTGAAAACAAATGTTGATATTTTACTTTAAACGACGACTATTTGTCAATCAAAATTCATAGTTATCTTATTATTATATTCATAATAAATTATTTAAATTTAATCCTTTCTATTAAACGTGTTAAATTTCTAATAAGTTAATCTTTTAGCTTTTAACAAAAACCATTTGATATTATTTAAAAAGTTGCATCCAACACTTTACCAAAGAAATTTCGAACCGTGAATCATATATAATTTTATATGTGATTTTAATAAAAATTATATGTGATTTGATCGTTTTTGTATTTGGTCATTATTTTCGTTTGATGTCAAAATATATACATATATTTATTGACATCAAACCTTACTCTACATTGGTGTAATGCATGCTCTTACATTATTTTGTTTTATAGTATTTTTAATTATTTTAARCTCAATTAATATCTACTTTGTTTGGTTAAAATGTAAAGAGATAAAAATATTCAATGGTGTTTTTCTCATTACACAATATATAATAAAAAATATATTTTATTATCTATATCTATATCTATACTATATATACTATATTATAATGCATTTGGCTAAAACTCTTAAAAACTCTTAAACTCTTAAAACTTTTAAACCCGTTCATCCCTATCCGATTTCATCCCATAACTGAATTC